GCATATACAGATGATTGGCACACCTATGCCCACTATCCTTATTGGACAAGCACTGAAGAAAACAGTCTGCGTCTATATAATTCTGTTACCTAAAATTAATAATTACATAATTAGGAATGCTGAAAAAAGGAAAAAATATTAAAAAGTAAAATAAAAACATCTTGCATCCCAAAAACCCTAATCATGCAGCTGGTCCGGGTATTTAGTTACTAATGTTTGTAAAGTGCTGATTTTAATACGTTTAAAACATTTTATCTTATTCACCCTGCAGTTTCCTGTTTGGCTGTAGTACAGATGTCACAGGAGGTTGCTTGGCACCTTCTCCATTCAGAAAAAGCTCTTTTCACTAGAATAGTAGGCATGGGATTAAGAAACAAATGGACTGGGCACTGCCCTGGGGAACATGTACCATTTTTTTAAATTCAGTTTGACTATCAATGTTAGTAATCATTTAAAGTGGCTATAAACCTCTGAAATGAAAAAATGAGTGTATCCCTCTATGCTGTGTAATAGCTTCAAACCAAAGAACCTAACATGATTTGTGTCAGCTTTGGGCAAAACACAATCCTGGGGGGATGCCCCCCCAACACACAGAAGCTGATTGACAGCCTCAGCTGTGCATGTGGGGTCTGTTCATTCCCTGCACTGAGGTCTCAGATTGCACTCAGCTCTCTGTTCAATGCTGTCCAATGTACAGTGTCAGATCCCTGTCCCATGCCTGCTGGAGCTGAGAAAAGTCTTTGATCTGTGTGTTTTAGAAGGCTGTAGAGAAGAGAGGGATGCAGATAAACAGATACAACTTATGTAGGAGGATTAGTCTCATCTTTGTCTATCACCTGAGGTTTGTCACTTCTGTGAGTATATGTAAGGGATTAAAACAAGGGGTTCACCGCTGACAGCTGAATGGACAAAAAATAATTGTCTGCAATTAGAATCAAGAAAAAAACAAGGTGAGGTCCCCCCTTAAATTAATACCAAGCCCTTCAGGTATGATATGGATTTTGGGGGGAACCCCCACGCCAAAAAAAAAAAGTGGCTCCATACCAGACCCTTATCCGAGTAAGCAGCCCGGCAGGTCTGGAAAGGGGGGGATGAGCCAGTGCCCCACCTCCTGAACCATACCAGGCCAAATGCCCTCAACATGGGGCATGCTTTGGGGCAGGGGGCTCTTCCACACAACCCTGGCCAGTGGTTGTTGGGGTCTGCGGGTTGGAGACTTATCAGAATATGGAAGCCCCCTTTAACAAGGGGGCCCCACAGATCCCAGTCTCCCCATATGAATGAGTATGGGGTACATGGTACTCCTACTCATTCACCAAAAAAAGTGTAGTGTAAAAATAGATGTAGATCTATTGTCAGTCATGATGCCCACTGCCACCCCCAAACCCCAAAAAAAAAAAAAAAGGCTCCACTACCATCGAAGGCTCCCGCCATCTGACAGCTCTTAACCATTTGCCCTCCTGAGGATTTACCCCCCTTAATGACCAGGCCTTTTTTTTCTGTTTGGCACTGCACTAATTCAACTGATAATTGCATGGTCATGCAATGCTGTACCCAAACAAAATTTACGTCCTTTTTTTCACACAAATAGAGCTTTCTTTTGGTGGTATTTTATCACGTGTGCTTTTTATTTTTTGCGCTATAAAAAAAAAAAGCACGAAAATTTTGAAAAAAAACGATATTTTCTATTTTCAGCTATAAAAAATATATTGTAAACTCAAAGTTAGTCATAAATTTAAGCCAAAATGTATTCTGCTACATGTTTTTGGTAAAAAAAATCCCAATAAGTGTATATTGATTGATTGCTTTGTGCGAAAGTTATAGTGTCTACAAACTATGGTATAGATACTGTAATTTATGCCATTTTTTGCTATACAGCCATTTTGGCCGCTAAATTTATAGGTACCTAGTGCAACTCACGGGAAAAAGAGCGCCTGGCTGTCAGGGACTGCTTGAACCGCTACAAAAAATTTACCGACAAGTGCTAACAGAGATAAGGCCTGATTCTGTGAACACTGCGGTTTTGTGTGTAATGTATCAAGTGACAGTTATCTACTGAAACTGCACTTGCTGGGGGAGAAGGGGGGGGTGCGTAGGGGCTAAACGCAGGTGCTGGCAGGTGTCGGGGCTGATCCCGCTAACGCTGCATTTTTGGGGATACCATAGTAATGTGAACGCTGGTATAATGCTGATCTGATCAAAGATATTGATCCAATCAGACACTATACTAGCAATGGAGGTTTAGCGTGCAAGTGAGCGTGTTCCTGGCAATCAAGGGGTCAAATGTGATTACTGTGTACTAGCAGTAATCTGACGCTATCTGGGAGGGGCGCTAACTGACGCTAACACTATTGGAAGTCACTGTTCACTGTAATCAATGACAGGGCAGTGAAGGGGTTAACGGGGGGGGGGGGGTGATCAAGGGGCTTAATGGGTTACTGGTGTACAAGCGGACAAACTGGCGCTATCTGGGAAGGGCGCTAACACTACTGGAAGTCGCCAGCGACAATGATACAGTGATCAGTAAAAATCTGTTCACTGTGATCAATGACACTGGTAACAGGGCAGCGAAGGGGTTAACTGGGGGGGGCGATCAGGGGGTTAAATGTGACCTAGGTGTGTTCTAACTGTAAATGTGTAATGTTTTACTCTTTACTGTGTCTTCTTCTCTCTCTGGAACGGAATGTGCCCAGGCAGAGAAGAATGACATCATATCCTGTCCTGTGTAACTGTCAACATAGGACAGGATAGGACAGGATAGGACTGATCATCCGATTTTAGCTGGACATCACTGATTGAAACCGAATGATTGATCCCTTGGGGATCAAATGGTGACAGCCGCGGGTCAGCGGGGGGGCGCGCGCGCGCCCGCGAAAACCTCGGGAGAGCTGAGCGCGTATAAAAACGTGCTTTTGCGCATCCGTGCTGCCCTGCCACCGTTTTAATGCAGTGGCTGGGCGGCAAGGGGATAAATATAACTAAGGGGCGAGGCCACCCAGCGACAGATGTCATTGAACCAGCCTGCCCTGGTCTATGACATCACAAGGAAGCGGGGGCACCCAGTGAAGTCACTGGGTGGCCCTGCCCCTTAGTTATTTAAGAACTGTCAAGTGGCAGGAGTCTTTGTCGGGAGTGGAGCCTTTTTTTTTTTCAGCTCTACGGTGGTGGCAGGCATCATGATTGAAGATGGGTCTACACCGATGACTTTTCAAAAATAATTTTAATAAAGGAATTTTCAAAACCTGCCTCCTGTGTTGTGTGCCATGTACCCCATACTCATTCACATAGGGAAGGGTGGGATCTGGGGGCCCCCTCCAGATTTCGATAAGCCCCCCCTTCCGCAGACTCCCACAACCACTGGCAAGGGTTGTGGGAAAGAAGCCCTTGTTCCCATCATGATGGGGACAAGGTGGTTTAGGGACAGCAGAGCCCCCTTGCCCCAAAGCAGCTCCCGCATGTTGAGGACATGTGGCTTGGTATGATTCGGGGGGGGGGGCGTCCGCTCTCCCCCCCTTTCCTGACCTGCCAGGCTGCATGCTCAGATAAGGATCTGGTATGGATTGTAGGGGGACCCCCCCTTTTTTTTATTTTGGCATGGGAGTTTCCCTTAAAATCCATACCAGCCCCGGAGGGCTTGATATGGATTGGAGGGGACCTTGCGCCATTTTTTAAAAAAAAAAAAAAATGTAATTGCTGGCAATTCTTTTCTTTTTACATTCAGCTGTCAGCAGGGAACCGCAGCTGATGACTCGTTGGTTGTTAAGGACATGGCGGCTGCCCGTCCTTAACAACCATGACCGTTACTGGTTGTTAAGGATGCCAGCGGCCGCCCCCTCCTTGGCAATCAGTATATACCGCATGCCTTGACCACTACTTAATTACTGCATGCATTCAATTATTTATTTCCTTATTTGAATTGACTTTAACGCCTTTTTATGCAGTATTTACAAAGCGTTTTTGCTATTTGTAGTAAATACTGCATACTAGCAATAGTGAATTGACATTTTCAGTATCACATGCGATATGTGGTCACTAACTATTAGTGAATTGTCCCCAGTATGTTTGAATTGCTGGCAAATGATAGTTTTAGCTAGCTAGAGTGGCTGGGGATTCCCTTTATCTATACCAGACCCTTATTCTAGATGAGGGTCTAGTATGGATAACAGAGGACTCCACAAAAAAAAGTATAGGTTTCTCTAAAAAAATATATACCAGACCATAATCATTGATGATTGGCTGGATGTCATAAGGGCTGCACACACCCAAAAAAAAAAAAACAAGCAAAAAAATGGTGTGGGGTTCCTCCAAATTCCATACCATTGACCAAATATGGTGCTGTCTATATTTAGTCAATTACATCATCCAGGAGACTCCACCCCTCTATTAATACTCAGGTGTCACATCCAGAGCTGGCATTCATGGGTGACTGGGTCACTGGGAGAGAATTATGTAGGCAGTTTTTTTTTTTTTTGTTTTCTTGGGTCAGCGAGCATAATTTTTTATGATTGATATGAATCATTGGATGAGGTGATTGGTACTCATATTGCAGAGTAGTTTATGTGTTATTCTGCACAAATGCAGTTAATCCTTTCCAAAAGTAGGCACTAAATTAAGGCTGCAGGAATCGGAAGGTCTCATTTATAACCATGATATTTAGTAGCCCGAGATACAAATCTCTGGTCACTTGAAAATCTAAAACTAAATTACCAGCAACAAATCGAAAGGACTTTGCCCCTTGGGCAGTAATCTGACTGATTTGCTGTTGTAAAGCAAAAATAAATTAGAAGATCTTGGCAAGTTCATTTAAACTCTTTCCCTTGTCAAATGTATATTCATTTTTCTGAAGACAAAAACTTAACCCTCTAATTTTGAATGTGAATGGTCTGGAATCTCATTAGAACTATAGGTTTAATCTGTCTCTTAGATTTACTCTATTACAGAAACATTACATATTTGAATGTTACATACATTGTAATATACATATTTAGCAATAAATCTTGCTATTTCCAAGAAATTTTATCTAAGACACCATTAAAGGCATTTTTCACATGAGCATTTCTAAGACTATAAATGATTGGATTTAACATTGGAATGACAACTGTATACACAAAAGAAATGATTTTGTCCTTCTGGATTGAGTAACTAGAAATCGGCCTTGCATACTCAAAGATGGCTGTGCCAAAAAATAAAGCAACTACTAGTAAGTGAGAGGAACAAGTGGAGAAAGTTTTTTGCCTTCCTTCTGGAGACTGCATCCTTAGGATTGTAGATATTATTTTAGTATAGGAAAACATGATTACTGTTGCAGATAAGCCTCCTAAGATACTAGATAAGAGAAACATAAAAAGCTCACTGATAAAAGTGTTATTGCAGGAGAGTTTTAGAAGTGGTGGGATGTCACAAAAGAAATGGTTAACTTTGCTTGAACCACAGAAAGTCATACTGAAAGTGCAGCTAGTGTGTATTATTGAGGTTAGTATTCCTCCTGAGTAAGCAGTCCCAACCAATTTAAGCTGGAGTGGCTTGCTCATGATAACTGTATATAATAAAGGATTGCAAATTGCCACATAACGATCATAGGACATCACAGTCACAAGAAAACACTCTGAACCTACAAACAATACGAAAAAGAATAGTTGTGTTGCACACCCTTTAAAAGATATAACTTTCTGGTCGGAATACAAGTTGGTCATCAGCTTTGGAGTGATAACAGAAGAATAACACAAGTCTGAAAATGACAAATTGCCAAGGAAGAAGTACATAGGACTATGAAGTTTGGAGGAGCAACATATTAAAATGACCATACCCAAATTCCCAATTATAGTCACGAAATACATTAATAAAATGATCATGAAAAAAAGAAAATTCAGCTTGGGATGATCAGTAAGTCCTAACAACAGGAATTCTGAGACTGATGTTTGATTATCTCCACCTTTTTCCATATTGCCCATTTATATAATAAGCACCTGCAAGAAGGATTAACATGGTCCAGTTCTTTTAGTTTAATAGAAAAATGTTAAAATACTATTGTATGAGGAATATGTGGAGTACATTTATACAATTATGAGCTTTGATTAATGGTAAAGTAGAATATAGTAAAGTATAGTAACGTGTGCAACAAAAGACCTGCTTTCAGCGGATTGATGTAATCAGCTTACTAGAAACAATTGGTAGGTCACTATCGGTGATTTCACATTGCTCTGTGATTTAATTAAATAAAGGTTTCCATGTGAACATTCAAATACCATATAGTAATTTCTTTTTTAATCATAATACTCCTAACTTTAGCTGTGTGTATTGGGAAAAAATAATTCAGTACACCTCTCCAATACGTGCCATTTCTTCAAGTTTTGTCTCTTAAAATGCAAAATGAAAAGTACAGAAAAATACATGTTAATCCTTCAAGAAATCCAGTTTGCTTCTAACATCTAGGTTGTCCCTAAACAGCTCTAACAATTCTGTCTGGGGGCAACACTGTTCCCCCATAGATACAATACAATGTCTGACAGGATAACCAAAGCTGAAAATATGTCACCAGGCATCAAGGCAATGTTTCGGAGCTGCACAGGTCCCACACTGCCTGATGAAGGGGCCCTGCACGGTTCCAAAACTATGTCTTTGTAAATATGCTGTGACTGTTGAATAAACCTTTGGACCCATTTGGAGGATCCTTGGTGTGCTGGCAACATATTTTCAGCTTTGAATGTCCATGGTTTCCAGCCGATCATCGCTGCAGCACCCACTGGCACCAAACAGCCAATTCCAAGAAAGTGTGAGTTGGGAAAATTACAATTATGAAAGGATATTCAGATAAAAATAAAAACTGAATATAAACAAATGCAGCCACCATATCTAAGAACTGGTAAGCTTCATTGTATTAAATTTGTTCATGGGTTTAGACAATAATTAGATAATATTTAATTGTTGTTTTTTTAGAGTACAAACAGGATTGCTGTTAATGTTTGGGAAAACACTAAATTCACCCTGGACATCATAGATTCAGTTTGGTATGGGGTTCCCCTTACTATTCCAACTGGAATCTTATCCAGGAATGCAGTCTAGGTGACCAGGTAAGGGAGGGCAGGAGTCTCCCCTTCCAGTACAATACCAGGGTGAAGCCCCCCCCCCCTCCTTGCAAAGCACTCTTGTCCCAATCTGGGCCAAGAGGTCTCTTCCCCACCTCTGTGTGCACCAAAGAGGGGATAGAGGTAATGGGTAATAGGTTGGTGCTTCTGGTGGTAATAGGATGGTACTTATGATGGCACTTATGGTGTCTCCCCCAAGGGGAATGAATGAATTTTGGGGTAAATTAGTAGTCCTTGCCCATTGCCACAAACAAAACATTAAAAGTAAAAAAAGAATTAAAAAAATTTATCAAATAGAACACAAACACTTACCTTTCAGCTTTTAAAGTAAAATTTATTAATGCCCCCATATGTAAATCCAGCATCAGTTATGATATTCAGCAAAGTAATTCACATCAATCATGGGATGCAGCAAGGTAATTCACATCAATCACAATGACCTGTCACTTGCTGTGTATGTGCCACAGTCCTGCCAATAAAGGAAAGATTCCCAGCAGCAGCAATTTAAATTTACAGCTGGGAATCCCAGGTGACATCACTGACCATGTTTGGACAATGACATCACCTAGTATTCCCGGAGGTATGTGACCAAGTTTGGACAATGATATCACCTAGTATTTCCAGCGGTATTTGACCATGTTTGGACAATGACATCACCTACTATTCCCAGCGGTATTTGACCAAGTTTGGACAATGACATCACCTAGTATTTCCAGTGGTATTTGACCAAGTTTGGACAATGACATCACCTAGTATTTCCAGTGGTATTTGACCAAGTTTGGACAATGACATCACCTAGTATTTCCAGTGGTATTTGACCAAGTTTGGACAATGACATCACCTAGTATTTCCAGTGGTATTTGACCATGTTTGGACAATGACATCACCTAGTATTCCCAGCGGTATTTGACCATGTTTGGACAATGACATCACCTAGTATTCCCAGCGGTATTTGACCATGTTTGGACAATGACATCACCTAGTATTCCCAGCGGTATTTGACCATGTTTGGACAATGACATCACCTAGTATTCCCAGTGGTATTTGACCATGTTTGGACAATGACATCACCTAGTATTCCCAGCGGTATTTGACCAAGTTTGGACAATGACATCACCTACTATTCCCAGCGGTATTTGACCAAGTTTGGACAATGACATCACCTAGTATTCCCAGCGGTATTTGACCAAGTTAGACAATGACATCATCTAGTATTCCTGGTGGTTAAATTACAGCTCAGAATCTGTAATTTAGTGGCAGAAGTGGGATGTGTACAGCCCACCTGAATTCTGGTTACTATTGATTTCAATTACATTTGGATATGGGGTTCTTAGCAATTTTCAGCCTGTTTGAATGAATTGATGACGAATCATGCACAGATGTGTTTGAGCAACACTACTTATAAAAGATAAGATCTAAGATCTTTGGTTGTTCCACGCAGTCAGGTACCCCCAACCTTTCCAGACATTTTCAATATGTAATAAAGAATGGTTACATTTAAAAAAAATCAGTTTGTGCTATGGCTAACATTACAAAATAAGCCTATTTACTGCGTAATTACAGTAATAACTTTATTCCCATTTATTTCATTTGTCTGCTCCCAAAGACTCTCTTGTTATAGTAAAACTTTTTAAAATGCCATTAAACCTAAGTTCTCAAAACATGCTATATAAAACTGTGCATTCTCACAAACCAATAAAGCATTTATTTTGTGTAGAGTGAAATATATCTGGTTGATCCTGCCTTCAGGTGTCCCTCCCATCATGTCTCCTCTACAGCCTGAGATTGTGTAGACCAGCTATTACCATCTATTGAGCATGCTCTAGTTTAGGTTCCCTTCTAAACTCCTCATTTCCTTCTTTTTATTATCTGTGCAGCACACATGATTATAGAGTGACACATGTGAGTAAATGCACAATGGTAAATGACACTCCCAGCCCTCCTCCTCCATGTCCTTTTATTGCTAAACACTATAGGGGAGGGATATATAATGCTGGTTTATTACATTCACTAAGAAACTCACAAAAATATGTTTTAATATAAATCAATATTAAATATACAGTATGAAATGTAATTGTTCATACCAGTAAAGTAAAAAAGCGCCTTGGATGCAGATGCCATCTGAACAAAATGATAGCTGGTGTCAATCATCTTTGACTCCACCTACACTATATTAATGCACAAAAAATACACAATTGATGTTCAACAAAAATGTATAGGGAGCTGTAAAACAGTTATTTATTTCATTTGAATTGGGTTCTGAAACTTTTTTTTTTTTTGTCATATGATCGGCACAGCACCAATTAGGGCTGTGTAGACACAGACTCATACTGTAGAGCATACCCATATAGAAGAAAAATATATTTGAAATATATCTTTAAAATATTCTTCTCAAATATATTGCCATGCTACAATTTTCAGTTTTGGCCATATTCAATATATTTCAAAAATATATATATATATATATATATATATATATATACTGCATGCATGTTGAAATGCATTTTTATTACAAAATATATTAAAACTATTTTTAAAAATACATTTCAAATATACTGTATGTCTTTAAAATTACAAATCTACATTTTTGGAATGCATTTACAAATATATGTAAAAATATATGTTAAAATTACTTTTTTATATGTTAAAAAAAATCTGAAGAATATATTTAAAAAATATATATTTTTAAAAATAGCATCACTTTAAGTAAAACATATTCCATTCCATCAAGCAGGTAATGAGTTTTAGAATAATGTGCTACCTACAAAAAATATCCACCAATTAATGACTTACTAAGCTATTCATTTCTTTTTTTACTGTTCAACAGAGCATGATAGCAGTCAATTTAATTAACCGATAAGGGAAAAGTGGCCTAAATAACTACCCTCTGTATAGCTTTAGCCGATTTTAAAGCATGAAGACTGACAGTATACAGTTTTATATTATAATTACTTTCTTTATTTCAGGTAATTATACAGTGCTCTCAATTTATGCAGTGCTTTTATATATATATTATACATTCACATCAGTCCCTAACTCTCAAGAGATGTACAATCTAACATCCTTAACTAACATTCATACACATACTAGGGCCAATTTAGACAGGATCCAATTAACTTACCCTTGGATAGTGGAAGAAAACCAGAGAAAACCCACACATGCACAGGGAGAACATGCAAACTCCAGGCAGGTGGTGCTGTGGCTGGGATTTGAACCAATGACCCTAGTACTGCCAGGTGGAAGTGCTAACCATTTAGCCACTGTGCTGACTCTGCATACTTATTCATCAGCTGACCTTCTAAATTATAAAGTATTGTTCCAGACATTAGAGGCATTGACTCAACATAGTATAGGGATTAGTATCATATCATTATGAATTTTTATCATAAATGTATTACCTTTAAAGAACTGTCAAATTTCATTCAATGTCAGTTTTGTTCCTATTAAAGATTAACTCAACTTTTGTTGAGAAAAGAAACAAGCCCCTCTGGATGATTAGTGTATATTACATGGATTATAACAAAAATTGTAGCAGATTCCTTCCTGTCATTGTTCTTACCTATTGCTCTATAGAAATAACTGTTGTTCCACCATGTCCTTTGCAGACTGATTCTAAATGGATGGGACTGATTTATTCTAATCATCTGATGCACTCTCCGCGCTCTAATGAGAAAAGCTGTAGGGTTCGCATCCCTTTTGAAGTATTTACCCTTAGGAAATATCTCACCAAAATATAAATCCCAATTGCGGGAGATGCCTAAAATTTTACTTGTATCTTAGTGCAAATTTCTGGGAAAATCTGTGAGTTAATCACACAAGCTTCTGATGGGATTTCTGGGGGTGTTCTGTACACCAAT